GGAGAGAAGAGGTCAAAGGGGGGGGGAGAGGGAGGGGGGGGGATTAGACAGCTTTGTTTAGGAATGAGATGTTTTATTTAGATTTATTTTTCTTGTTTTGATTTTTATTATTATTATTCGTTTATTAACCCATTGTTTCGTTATCTTTATATTAACTCTCCTTGTTTGTTTTTATTACCATTTCAGTCAAAATCCTTGTTTAAAATGAACTGCTTTATTTTGATTTCTTTTTTTTTCTTGTTTTCCTTTTTATTATTATTTTTCGTTTATTGCCCCATTTTCATTACTTTTATACTAACTCTCCTTTTTTGTTATCATTACCTTTTCTGTCAAAAATTACATATATGAAAATATCACAATTTATTGGCTAATTGAAGGTAGCTTATGACAATATTAAATCGGTTTTGGAATTCTTAGCAAAGCATTTCGTCAATGACAGGCAATAAATATATATGTATAATAGATAAAACTTCTTTATCTGCTGTCCATTGTTATGTGAACTGATGTGGACCTTGCTGGTTATTTAGATATCTAAAATATAGATATATCAGGTACGTAACATCATCTCAACATTGTACAATAATAATTAGATTCATAACATTTGACTTTGATATTAAATTATAAAATCGTTAATTTTGAGTATTATAAGTTATTTTTTCAATGACTTTTTTTTCACTTTCAGATGTTTTTCGTTCTAAACGCCATATCCTTGCTTTTATGATATGGATTTTACTATAGGTTTGGTAATTTCCAAAGGGTTATATGCTCGTGTAAGATGCCTTTATTTAATACCAATAATACATGCCTCTCAACATTATTTTAGCCGCATTCCCAATTAAAACTTTTGAATTATGAGGTTATAAGAGGCCACTAGATTTAAACATATTATAATTTCTTTTATTATTGTTGGTATTATGGTGTTATTATTAGTAGTAGTACTATCGTTATTATTATTATTTGTAGTAGAATCATCAACACCATCATCGACTTTCTGATTTTTTTTTATTGAGAATATCATAACTCATTAACAAAAAAATTAAAATTGTATAATTCAGCATCATTACACTTACGAAACGTGTTTGTGTTCGTACGCTCTACGTGCAATTTCCTCGAATACATCAGCCTACTTACATAAACTGATACAACACGCCACACGCATTACCTTTTCATATCGTTATCTTATCCAAAAGCGAGCTGCTTATCACTGATACGGTGTGTTATTCCTGTCCTGTGATCATGTCATTTTGTCCCGCAGATTATCATTAGACCTTTTACTGAGATAATTGATTTGGAGGGATTCTGGTGATTCTGAATGCTAGAATATTTATATATATGTGTGTGTGTGTATTATATATATATATATATATATATATATATGTATGTATGTATATATATATATATATATATATATATATGTATATATATATATATATATATATATATGTATGTATGTATATATATATATATATATATATATATTCATATATATATATATATATATATATATATGTATATATATATATATATATATATATATATGTATGTATGTATATATATATATATATATATATATATGTATGTATGTATATATATATATATATATATATATATATGTATATATATGTATATATATGAATATATATATATATATATATATATATATGTATGTATGTATATATATATATATATATATATATATGTATATATATATATATATATATATATATTCATATATATATATATATATATATATATATGTATGTATGTATATATATATATATATATATATATATATGTATATATATATATATATATATATATATGTATATATATATATATATATATATATATGTATATATATATATATATATATATATATTCATATATATATATATATATATATATATATGTATGTATGTATATATATATATATATATATATATATATGTATATATATATATATATATATATATATGTATATATATATATATATATATATATATGTATGTATGTATATATATATATATATATATATATATGTATATATATGTATATATATGAATATATATATATATATATATATATATATATGTATGTATGTATATATATATATATATATATATATATGTATATATATATATATATATATATATATGTATATATCCAGTGTTTCTTTGTTTGTTTATTTTAATTTTCTTCTTTTTTATAATATGCCTCATTGTTTCATGGTGTAATGGCTTCTACATAAACGTGATAGGTACACGTGTTCTTAATAGCAATAAAACAATTTCTTCCTTATACTTAATATGAGGGCGAATGATAAAACACATTATAATATTTCTTTATGATATTAAATATCATTGTCATATCAGATATAAAAAAATTGGATACTCTTTATATATGAAACTCTGTAGAAATAGCTGAAAATTCTGATACTAGCCTTTTAGTAAATGTTCTAAGTAATATCTTTTATTCTAGTTAAAACATCATCCACCAAAGAAAGTTTCTCATAAAAAAAAAATAAAAAAAATACATAAGAAATAAAGTAAGTAAAATATAATAATAGATTTTTGAACAAACGAATGCACAAAAACTAAATTTCCATTCAGGCTGATAAAATTCGTGTAAACTCGTGATGGCGAGATGGCGAACTTGTAGAAAAAAATTATGAATGAGAAGGAATATCTTCACAATACAATAGTTATTCACATTCATACTTTTTCTACTTCTGTCACGATGAAATAAGACAGTGTTGCTGTCTGGGTGTCGTGTCTTTTTTTCTGTTTTGTGACTTTTTGACGTGTTTTGTTCTACTTGATAGACTGCTGCTACTCTGCTTAGGATACTCTCTGTGGCTTTCTTTTTCCCCCTTCTCTCTCTCTCTCTCTCTCTCTCTCTNCTATCTATCTACCTTTATCTTCTCTCTATCTATCTCTCTACCCTTCTCTTCTCTCTCTATCACTCTATTATTCTTCTCTTTCTATCAATCTATCTATCTTACCCATGCATCTTCCTTATACGATATTTTTATTCCAGTTGACACAGAGT